GGAGAATGCCACAATCAATTCAATCTAACGACATGCACTTCTTTTCTCTTTTTTCATAAAAGAAACATTTTCCAAGTCTCACAGGACTGAAAAGCAGAGTGCAAAAAATGGACTTACAGCTACAATTTTGCTTTTGCTCTCTGCGAGACAAACAAATGAAACAGATTGATATAGATGAGCAAATTAAAAAAGGGGGGGGTTTGGTGGGAATAATCCAGTGAGCGAGTTTTTAAAAAAGATTCCTCCTGGGTTGTTAGCCTCCCGGGGCTCCATCAGATCTTCTTTTTTTTCCCTTTCTTTTTAAAGCAGGTTGCTTTAAATCCGTAATCAAGTTATACAAGGTCCTTTTGACTCCTCAAATGTGTCAGAAAGAATAAAAAAATACATTTCAAAGCAGGGGGGGGGGGGGGAGAAGCGCTGTTTAAAGGAAGTGCTGTTTAAAGGAAGGTTGTCTGCCTTTCTCGGCATCTTTGACAAAGTCAGAGTTCTGCTCCGGGCTTGCTCTGTATGCAAAATCGGTCTCAGAATATCACTGCACAGCAATCAAAATCCAAAGGAGACTTTTCCCCCCCTCTGGAGCTTTACAGTGCAATCCCAAACAGAGATTCACCCGTCGCCTAAGCCCACTGACTTCAATGGACTTAGAAGGGCCTAACTCTGTTTAGGACTGCGCTGCTAAGCTCAGGCCTGATGAAATGCAAGCCCAAAAGCCTCTCTGGTGAGTGTTTTCACCTTAGCCAGCATCATGATTAAACCAGGATGAGTCTGCTAGCTTGGGAGAATGAAAACCTTCGAGATTCTCTTTCCCAGGAGATGTCGGGCCAAACTAGTTCATTTTTTCAGCAGGCATGTGGTCCCTGCAGGGCCGGCCCGCCCACTAGGCCGACTAGTATCCAGCCTAGAGCGCAGCTCCCCTAGGGGCGCCGGGAGGCCCTTTCCACCACCACCCACCTGACCCCAGCATTGTTTTCTGGGCGCCCGCTGGGCGCCCCTTACCACCACCTCGCTTTGCCTCTGCCACCTCCTCCTCCCCCGCTCCATCAGGAGTGGGGGGGAGGGAGGAAGCACCCCCTCCCTGCCTGGAAAAGCGGCCGTGGAGGGGGGGGGGGGGAGATGCAGAGGGGGGGGGGGGGCGTGCCCAAAATTGTGCTTTAAAAAAAATTCAGTCTCAGGATGGCGTGCAAGAGGAAAGGGTCGCCTGCTTTGCCAGCAGCCAATATGGCATTTCCCCCCCCAACCAACTCCCCAAGGAAGCGGGCAGCAGACAGTTAATCCGGGCTCGATGGAACAAAAGGCTTTTGGGAATCCTCGGCACGCAGCAGCATTACTCCAGGTGAAAAAGAGAAAATGAAATCAAGGGCCGTAAGTATTGGAGAAGCCAAGCCTCAAGATACATTCTGGAGGGCTGCGTCAGGGGAGGCTGATCCGATTAGGCCGGGGAAGGGGGAGGAAGGGCAGGTGGGCGAGCAGGCAGGAGGCGGTGGCGGGGAATGGAGCCCTCTCTCTCTCGGCCGGCCCTTCTGCTGGGACCCAGCTGGGAGGTCTTCAGACCCCACCGGGAGGTTGGCATCTGAGGGGGGTGCCACGAGGCAGCCTGGCCTAGGGCGCAGAAACCCCTCGGGCCGGCCCTGGGTCCCTGTCAAGGTAACAGGGAGTGCACGTGTGCAGGGAGGCTTACATAGGAAAGGAAAACAGGTGCTTAATGCTGATTGCGAATTTTATTCTGTAAATCATTGCCCCTGAGGCTGTTTTTTCCACCACTGGATTCATTTCTGGTTGGAACACAATGAGAGTCAAAAACACGTATTTGGAAGGAGGAATTGGCAGACGGGCAAAGAGTTAAGCAATCCTCTCTTCTTCCCACCTTCCTGCAAATACCTGCCCAGACATTTGTACTATGAGTTGGGGACCCCGACATCTCTCTCTTACCATTTGTTTACGGTATTTATAGCCCGTCTCTCTCACTTGGACTACACAGGATTAGGGATGTAGAACAAACCAGCGGTGTAGAAACAGAACTGTAGCAAAGCATAAGTATTAACGGGGCACATTCAGGGGTGTCGAGCTCATTTGTTACGAGGGCCAGATCTGACATGAATGAGACCTTGTTGGGCTGGACCCAGGTTAAGAGTTAAGCAATCCTCTCTTCTTCCCACCTTCCTGCAAATACCTGCCCAAACATTTCTACAATGAGTTGGGGACCCCGACATCTCTCTCTTACCATTTGTTTACGGTATTTATAGCCCGTCTCTCTCACTTGGACTCCACAGGATTAGGGATGTAGAACGAACCAGCGGTCTAGAAACAGAACTATAGCAAAGCATAAGTATTAACGGGACACATTCAGGGGTGTCGAGCTCATTTGTTACGAGGGCCAGATCTGACATGAATGAGACCTTGTTGGGCTGGACCCAGGTTAAAACATGAAATGGCTGAGCGATTAAGAGAGCCTGGCGAAGCAAGCTACACTGTAGCAGCAGCAGCAGAACTGGAAGCAGAAGATGGCCAGTTCTACTGCGGGCCTGATGGAAGCCCTCCGGGGGCCTGATCCGGCCCCCAGGCTGCATGTTTGACACCCCTGCATTAAATGATGCAAAATTCCATAGCAAGATCATAGTTTCAGCAGGCTATACACAGTAGTCGTCTCGAATACTTTCCCCCCCAAGTAACTGTGGATTATTTAGTACAGTGCAACTCTATTACTCTATTACCATCTCATCTGAGGCTCACAGAAGAAAAGAAGAGCTGGTATTTATACCCCGCTTGTCTCTACCCTGAAGAGTCTCAAAGTGGCTTATGATCGCCCTTCCTTCCTCTCCCCACAACAGCCATCTTAGGTGGGGTTGAGGGAGCTCTGAGAGGACAGTGACTGGCCCAAGGTCACCCAGCAGGCTTCACGCGGAGGAGGAGTGGGGAATCAAACCCGGTTCTCCAGATTAGAGTCCACCAACCACTACACCATGCTGGCTCTCTAGCTCTCATTTACAGATGGGGGGGGGGTTTGGTGGCACAGATCAAGTGGTCTCATGGCCACGTGACGGTCAGCAGCCATATGAAAACTAGCCTGGACAATACATTTCCTGACCCTCCCTGCCAAGATGCTACAACAGGCAGCCAGGGCCCTGAAGTGATTTATGGGTTTTTTTATCGTTTTTGTGGTAGATTTATGATCTGGGGTTTCAATGGTACATTTCAATTTGATCAAATTAGACGTGTTAACCGTTTCGAGAGCCCAGTCTCGTCAGATCTCAGAAGCTAAGCAGGGTCAGTCCCGGCTAGAGCTGGCTGAAACTGAATCCAGGTAAGACGAAGGTTCTCTGGCTGTGGCCGGGTTGTCAACTCCCGACTCTTGACGGTATGTCCTCGCCACCGACTCCGACCGTCAAGAGTCTGGGCGTGATCCTGTACACCACTTTGTCCTGTGGAGACTCCAGGTCATGAGGGTTGCCCAGCTGGCAT